TTAAAAGGAAAGGCTTAAAACAAAATGGAATTATGCCTGTTTTACTATATGATCATATGTACTTCTCCAGAGAAGTCTGTGGGTCAAAAGTCTGCTCATGTGTTTTGCAGAAATCTTTATATAGGAGCAATACATTGAACTTTGAAATTTGTTACTGGAAGAATAAAAACTTAACAGGATGATAAATGGATTTCACGTAAATGAGATAACAGGGATGTGGTGCCCCTGTTTTATCTGTTAAATCTTGAATGCTGTACAAAGCAACATTAAATTATTTCAAATCTATTTAGGCTTATAAAACCTAAAACAGTTAAGGATATATTATGGTTAATTGCTGCTGATTGCTTTAATCAAATCTTATTCCTCCTGAAAATCTGTCAGGTGATTATTCAAACAATAAAAAAATTAGCTTATTGCATGTGCTGGTCCTGTAATTGAAAAAGTAAAATGACTAAGCACAATGTTCTCAGTAAAGCCGCCAAAATAAAATACAGCCCAGAAGGGCAAGCCATGCATTTCATTAAAATAAGGTTCAGTAACCATGAAATTTATCACCCTAAGGGCTTCCTCACTCTGACAAGTGACTAAAGTGTAAAATGTCAAATACCTCTGAACTGACCAATGACTTGCATTAACTTTAAGATTTTGTTAGTCAAATACTAGATGTACTTTCCTGTTCACAAGCTACAAGAAATTAATAGTTTTCTTCCTCAGCTTCCTGTGTTACTGCTGAAGACTCACACCTACACACACAGCACATGCAAATGTCTGTGCCTTTGTGGTCTCTGACAGATGGGAAACTGTGTGGTCACAAGTGAAGGTGAAAGAGTGGCAGGGAGCAACCTCAGCTTGTAGAACCATGAGAAGTTGATCCATGAGTAGGGCAAGGAAGGAGTGAACCTGCTGATTGTTCTCCCTGTGATGGATAATAGCCCTTCTGTTACCCATTGCATCTAGAAAATATTCTCTAATTCTGTTACAACTTGGGCCAATCATTACCTTCTTGATGGAGAGCTTACATCATGCTGTTCTTTCAACAGCTTCTACATTTGAAACCCTCAGTCAAGACTTTGTTTAGAAATAATCTCATGCCCTTCAGACTTTGTAATCATGTCTTCTGGTTCCTGTCCTTTTGATTATTTCTTCTTCCAGTTTTTTCTGCTTGGCTCAATTTGATGTACAGCATGCTTTGCTCACTGAAGTGTTTGGCTTGAATGTTGTTGTGCTTGATGAGGAATCATTTGTCATATGAGGTGATCCTCACCTTTAATAGAACATTAGGACAAAAGTGAGAACATCTCCTTTCAACAGAATGTGCTGACTTGGGTTGTGCTTCTCTGCTGGAATCTACAGGTCTTCCTAAAAAATGTGCATCCCTTCTCTAAACCACTGTCAGGAAGCAGTGTTTGAATAAATATTTGTTATGTTTTTGGTTTTATTTCATGCTATGCTTTTGAATCCTTACAGAGCGATCCCTGTTCAGTAAACCTGCTCTCAGTGCATGGGCTGATAATATTTCTGGACCAACACTAGAAAACTCCTGAAACCTGGAATATTCCAGCTACTTGGGAATACTCCAGCTACTCTTTGCAGCAAAATTTGTGGAAGCTGTTGTAATGTCCTTTGAGTCTTGAGTGTCCCACCCACTTCAGTGATGGTTTCATCAAAGTTTGACAGAGCCTGAATATATTCAGGAATGCATGGCACATCCTATTGCTTATTAATAAGATTTGTGAAATTCTATGTGATTGCTAATTTATTAAAACCTTCAAATGTTTCAGAGTAGGATTTCCCCGGAAGACTTCCTGAGTGACCCAGTTCAGGCAATTCTACTTGTCTAGTATCAATTCTAAAATCTCTTCCCTCAACCAGAGGCCTATAACAAGCTATCCAGTATGCCAAAGTGCTTACACAAGGCTTTTAGAAATTCTAGGCAAGGTTAATGTCACCAGGATAACTGCCCGTTGCTCAAAGCCTCATTCACTTCATATTTTTGGTTTGTCTGCTCTTAACAGCTGTGTACTTCAAGCAGGTGTAGCACTTCAAATACTTAGGACTACATACATCACTATATGAAGGTAACAACTTTTTGTCTTGCTTTTCAAGGACTTGGGGTGGCAAAGTTGAACGACAAATCTGTTAATTTCAACAAACTCTTATTTAGAAATGCCTTGCAGGCAATGATACAGCAAAATAATTCAGGAATGAATGTCGTATCCCTTATCAATTCCACGTGTGATAAATGGATTTAGTTGGTTGTGATGTTAGAGAAAGGAATCTGTAAGTATTAACTATCTTCATGGGAACTGGGGTAGAAGCCAAGCCACTATCTTGTACCAGAATAAACTGATAAGAGAAAGTGTTCAGTTAAAAGTAGAGCAGTTGTTTAAAGAAATAGTCTGAAGATGTAAAACTCTTTGAAAAGTTGAGATTAGGTAATATGTGCAGTATTCATTCAAGTACCTGACTTTAGTTTTGTAACTTTAACTCATCCCCTGGTAGACATGACAACTGTCCTCCTGGTCTCCCCCACTTCTTCCCTTAGATGCAAGCCTTTGATTTCTTCTGCAGCACAGAAAGAGAACATCCCTTTGAAATTTATCTAGTCAGAAACACCAAACAGCTTCAGCCAGGTGTATGTGTGCTCTCATCATCCTTTGTCTGACCTCTGCCATTAGTGATACTCCTTGCTTGGGATGCTGCTGTGGGCAGTTGCCATCTCCTGGAAGATAAACATCAAGACAGTTTTGAAAATTGAGAAATTTAATATATTATTGCAAGTTGATTAGGAGTTGAAAGATCTGGAAATGTGACATCTGGAATATTGTGAGGTCAGGCTCAGCTTTCCAGAGGAGCAGTGAGAAGACTCTGCATCCATTATACTTTTAGGATCAGAGAACAAAAAGCTCTGAGAGCTTACAGAGTTGAGTCCCTGTCTTGTGGTGTGCCTGTTCCCAACAGCTGCTGCCAAACCATAAAGATGACTAAACCACAAAAAAGAGTAGGGACTAAAACTCTTGTTCTGGTAGTTCTTCTGCTGTCTGAGCAGAGCAGCAGAAATTAATCCAGACTGAATATGAGTGGAGCAAGATGAGGAAAAGTCAGTGATGGAACCACAAATTTTAAGCACTATTTCAAAGGTGTGTGGATGGCAGGTTATGAATGAGTTATTTAACTTAACTCTCTTCATGAAGCCCACACTCCTGCTAGATGCTATTACTCAAATTTACAGAATGCTCCTGTCACTCTGTTGAGATGCATAAGCAGGTAGCCTCAGAGCACTGAAGGCAGCATTCACTGATCAGCTCACAGTTTGGTGAGTTCTTCCTCTGTTCTGTGAATAGTCCTACAGCTCCTGAGCTGAGGTCCTTTAATGTTAGGTGCCTGTTAGACTAATTCTAAAGATTTATCTGAGCAAGATGTTGCTGTTCCCATTTATCCTTCAAATCAGCACCCACTCTTCAAACTGTAGATGGTGTGCCTTTTAAAATTATTAGGAGATACTCAGTCCTGAATTGAAGCTGTAGCTGTTATTTACACTCAGTCTGTGGAGTCCCTTTTATATTCCTTCCTTTGAAGATAGCTTACACTAACTGCACGTGTATTTTGGTGTCTCTTTAAACAATGAAGGCACAAAGCCAAATTTATCTTGTCAGCCGTTCAGGTTTCTACTTCTTTCTCTGGATTTCCCCCTTGGCTTGAGATTTCAGGATCTATCCAGGGTAACAGAACGAGCAAAAGAGATTGCTTGTTCTCTGAGTGCACTTTGCAGAGAGGATCCCGTCCCTTTCTGAGGATATTAGATGTCTAGTAGGATAACCTGCCAGCTCAGCTGTTACACTTCAGTATCAAGCTACTTTGTGCACTCAGTTCTGGTGCTTCCTTCATTGTTTTGCTCTTCACATATGCTGCTTTCTGTGCCTGCACACATTAAAGCAGCTCTGCCTACTTAGAGAAATACCTGTGATATTATCTGACCACAAATTCATTCTGCCTCTGAGAATGATCTGGAAAGGCACTCCAGCTGGTATGCAATTAGCCTTGCATAAAGAAACAACCACTAGATTAGCTTTGTTTTCTAAACAATCAATCGTGCTTGTATAGGCTGAACCTCTCACTGCCCTGCTCTTTATGTCAGCAGCCCTGTATCTGTAGAATGACTCAAGTGCAATCACTTTGAATCTTACACCTAAATTAACATTGGCTATGACTTGTTGATTTTAAATACCTTTTTAATGCAGAGAAACTCTCCCCTTCCTAGAAGAAGCCTGCCTAGTCCTGTAGACACTATTGCAACAATGTTTTTGTTCTTATGGATATTCAAGAAAAGCTGCTTTAGCATGTGAAAGATTAATTCACTAAGGATGTTTCAGGTAATCCATCTGTGTTATCTGATAGTAACCTCCAACAAAATGCTTTTGGAAGGCTAGATACCTTTCAAACAGCATTTTCTTGTTATTTGGGGTGGGTTGGTTTTCATTTTGTTTGGCGGGAAGTGGGAATAATAGCTCACAAGGGCAACCAGTGTTCTAGGTATTTAAATGTACATTATCATCTCTACTGCCTTTGCAACCTGCTTGCGGTAGTCCCAGCTGCCTTGTAACAATAGTTATAGTGCAGCTGCTGAAACCATTGATTCCTCTTAACCACTCTGCTTTGGAAACTTGTCTCTGTGGGGACTTAAGGAGGTGCAAGACCCATGATCTGGACGAAATGAGGATGGTTAGAGTTCCATGGATGAGATCTGCCTCCATCTCACAGTGCAGCTTTGTCCCTTGGGTTCTATGTTGAGTTTCCCTTGGAGGATGGCAGCTGTGTGTTTTGCAGAAAGCACGCAGGAAAAGTTGTTGGGACTGACAGAGCATGACTGAATTGTCTGACTGTGACAGGGCTAAACCTAGACTGGGAGTTGGGTTTGCTTTCAAATATTCTCACCTGCAAGAACTTCTATAGTGATTGCACTGATGTGACAGCAGGATGCAAACACTTCTCTGGTGCAGGAGTGCTGCAGGTCTCACCCCAGAGTGGTCCAGATGTCTGCTGTTGAAATGGCATGGAAGCTGGAGCTTGTGCATCCTCTAAGAAGAGAACAGCTGACAGTCATTCCCAAATTAGGTAAAAATGCCAAAATCTGGCAAGCCTTTGCCAAGTATTTCATAGTTCTCCAGAGTCACAAATGGAAGAGGTTTGTGTCCTCTAAATACTGCCCTGCCAGCTGGTCTTAATGTATCAAGTCCAACTGCCAAGCACTTGTAACCTCTTATTATTTTAGTGTACATGTCAGTAAATATCTTATCCTGACAGTTCTAACAGTGTTAGAGCTTGGCAAAACACATTCTAAAATAGCATTTGTTCATCGTCCAAAATCAAAATGTCCTGATCAAGTTGCTCTTAAATGTAGCCATCAGCTTTCTGTGGGACTGCTTATAAACCAGCTATCTGAAGCATATTATTTGCACTAAAATGGATGGTTTGTAACTTGGCCAAAATATAGTCTGTTTGTTAACTGTGTTTCTGTCTCCTGTAAGGTGTAACTCTTATGTGGTGTGAGTTCCCTCCTTTGTTAAAAGTACTGGTTGTGGAAGTTCTTACTCTATTGATCCTAAATGCTGTAAATAAGGTCTGCAGTCAGTGTGGTGATGCAACCCTTTTAAGTGCTGATTTATACATATTATTGACCAAACAGTAATTCTCTGATTTTAAGGTTTAATAATTATTGGGGTTAAGAGGGGATTCTTAATTTTGTTTGTCTTGTTTTGTAATCTTACACCTTACTTAAAATACACAGGCTGTGCATCACTGCTAGGTCAGTTCAAATGTTTATTTAAATAATTGAGAAACTAAATCAAATAGCTCTACTTCACGGCAGTGTACATAAACACGTCTGTCACGCTGGTATTTGGGACAGCCTCAAAAACTGGAGCAGGGATCTGCTCAAGTGCTCCAGCAATACTTTTTATGGAGTGTGCTTTCTCAACGTTTGTTTGTAATTATTTGTGCTGCTAAAGGGAGGCGCTGGAGATGTTTGCCAAAGGTGCTGCACCCTAAACCTGCAGTTTCCTCTATTAGCACCACCTCATGCATCGCGGGTGTGGGGCCAGAGGGGTGGAAAGCAGCTCTTTTACCACACCCTTTGCAGCAGGTTTAGGAGGAGGTGGTATTCTTTTGGTGCCAGGAAGTAAGTAAGAAATAAATGTTATCTTTAAACACCTTTTATTCCTTTCTTTCAGTACTGAAGTGATGAGTTCCATTTAATACTTCATCAGGGGATGTTAACAGTATTTTCCTTGGCTCAGATGGAGGAAAACTCGGCAAAGCTTGCATGGGGAGGGGAAGGAATCTCTCCCTCGTGCTGACAGGAGACAATTTCCAGCAATCGAGATGAGTCGGTGTGGGCTCAAACTGTAGGTTAGGCTGTAAATGCTGGTTTCTTTACCAAGCAATCACGGTGATGAGGTTCCCCTTTGATCTGTGAGTCCACTCAAACAAGGCAAAATGAGAGCACTTAGTGCAAGATGATATAACCAGTTACATATACTTGTTTACAAACTGTTTGGAGAATCTGAAATGTGAGAAACCCTCTTCTGAGATGTTTTGGTTTTTCTCTGAGGGATTAATTATTTCCTCAGAGTTAGTAAAATCCGGTCAAAACCTGACTTCTCTTTCTTTGTTGGAGGGTGAACAAAATTCTAAGGATGTTTTCAAAAGCTTCCTTTAACAGAGTTTTCTGAGATTGAATGATGGTAATGCGTTTAGGGACTGGTAATTGAAGATAATTCCAACGAATTAGACTTTGCAGACATTAATGATATGCTAGAGGAAGTCGGCTTATGAAGATCTATGCTGTGCTCTTTTTTTTGTCTTGATCTATTGAATAGCTTCTCTAATTGTCTAATACATATTCTGTCAGTATTTGGGTTTCTTAAGTATTTGCAGCCTGAAGAAACCAGCCTGTGAATTTTCAGGCAGTGAATATGATTAGTTTAAATGCCAGTATGTGAAAATAATGTGCTTTTCACAGTAGCATCTGCAAGGGACGTCTAACTTTGCAGCTACAGACTAAGTAATCAGTCCTGGCTTGACTATTTTTATGGATGAATATTCGTGCAAAACTCTACTCTCAACCTTTTATAGAAAGTATTTATTGAGAATCAGCAAAGATTGCTCTGCTGTATTCCATTTTTCCCACTGCAGTTGGGAGGACAGCCTAGGTGAAAGAACTTGCAAAAAAAAAAAGAAAAACGTTACTGGCAACAATGCTACTGGCAACAATGTCCCAATAGGATTATTCTTGCACCACCAGCCCTGCTGGGTTAGACATTGCCCTTCCTTCTGCAGAAACGTGGGACTGGTGCAGTTAATCCACTTGGTTATGTATTAAGATGTTTGCTGATGATAGCCTTAATTTTGTTTTCCTCTGTTGTTCTACTTCATAGAGACAGAGGGGACGAATATGTTTAATTCTGGTGGGAGATAACATTTGGGGTCAACATGGTTTAAAAACTTGAGGATCTTTAAATAGGACATTCCAAGTTGGCCCATAGCTTTAGCTCAGACTGAAGTTTGTGCCTATGTGACCAAATCAGTGAGTGTTCTTAGTGGCTTGCAGCAGTGTCAGCCCATAACATCATGTTTGCACACTGGCCTGAGTGATCTCTGTCCCCATGAGGTTTTGAGTTCTGTGCTTTTGTGGTGACTTGGTTGTTAGCTTTTGGTTTTGAAAGCTGTTAGTGCTTGCTGTCTTGCCCTTTACCTAATTTTAGGTGTAGAACCTGCTAATTGGAGATACAGCCATCGCAAATCAAGCATGCCTATGTGTTTGCTGTGCTGTGAAACTGCTTTAGTGTCAGTTTTCTTCCCAGCCTCCCTGGTCTCAGCTGTTAACGTTTTCCATTAGCTCTGAAGGCTTCTCTACTGCTATTTGTGCAGTACTCCCTTAGCTGTTTACTTGTTTAATGTATCTGTATTAACAAACATGAAGGTAATATGAGTATATATGACTTTTTTAAGTATCACTAAATCAAAATACAAGTTAAATCAGATAATGCCACCTCTCCAGTTTAACAAAATGAAGTATTTCCTACTAAAAACAGCAGCAGCCGTGATTTAACAATGTAATCTGATCTAATATTAGTAACAGGCTGTGCCTTTAGGGAGCAGTATAATATCCAATCCACTGAATAAAGTCTGTCTCACATTAAATTCTGGATCCCTCTTAAAAAGATGGCTTCCCAGAATTGTTTCAGTAATTGCATAAAGACTCTTGATTTTCTACATATTTTTCTGAATAATGAATAGAGAAATTATGTTGGCTCCCAAAATACAAATAATGATGAAATAGTGCTGTTCTCCCTGATGTCACAAGCACCTTCACCTCTCCACGTTACTTCTTGAGCTTTCTCTTCTTCCTCATGTGTCCAGGCAGGAACATTCCCACCGGGGGAGTTTGTCATGCCCAGACTGCCATCTGTGACTGCATCACCACATCTTCCAGCAGGAGCCAAAATCTTACTCTTGGTCATTTTCCAAATAAGCTGTGAGGGGATGGAAAGAGGGTCCCAAGAAAGCCAAGGGGGTTCTAGTCAAGGCTATGCTTTATGGAAAGAAGGAGGCAGGAAACCCTATGGAAGATTTAACTTAGGCAGGGCTGGAGTTTGTAAGTCTGCCAGCCTTTAATAATTTCTGGAATTTTGTATACATTCCGAGGAAAGGGTGCAATAAATCTTCATTAACCCTTCCAAAATCAAGCTGTTCACACCCTTCCTTTTATGTTTTTGATTGTGGTTTGGATATTTATTTGTTGGGAGAGTAGAGGATGTCAGATGTCCAGCGTTGAGAGTAGAAAAGCTGCCAGCGTCATCTGCTTCTCTTAGATGAATTTGTATTTGAAACATCGTGTTTTGGCTTAAACAGCAAGGTTGTAAAAGATATCAACTGACTTAGAGTCTGTGAAGCGTCCTGAAGGCAGGCAAGAGTTTGTGTTGGAAGAAGTGGGAAAAATGCTGTTTCTCCGTGTGAGGTGGATTGCTTCATATTGTTTTAATTCACAATGTGCTGCAGAATGACTTACCCCTGCCCAGACCTTGCTTCTGTGGCCTAAATTGTGTGGTAGCTTCAAAAGTAGGTCATGATGCAAAAGCACTGTGCTGTTTCTAGTGGCTCTTTTCTTTTTTTTTTTTTTTTTTTTTTTTTTTTTTTTTGTTTTTTTTTTTTTTTTTTTTTTTTAATTTTTTTTTTTTTTTTTTAAATCTCAGGTTTCAAGATGAACTTGCTAAGAATCTGACCTGCAGTCAGTATTAGTCATAGGGTTGTTTGGGCACGATGTCCTTGTAGAAGAAGCTGGTTTATGCTGTTGTGTTTCAATGCCTTTGATTACCTAAATGATGAATTAGATGTTAGGACATGTCAAATGTGGTTCTTTATTGCACCCAGTTAGCCTTAACCTTTTTCCTTTGGCAGGGTTTTAGTGATTCACAACCGGCCAGTCCGGTGTAGTGTAAGACTGTTTTAAAGTGAGAGACTGACTTTCAGGACCTGGAGGTAACATAGCTCATGTATGGAAATGTTGTTAAGCAATATATGATATAATTGATTTTTTAAAAAATTATTCCTGAGCAAGTGTAGTCTTCCCCCTCTGATAGGGTTAATACAGTTCTCTTCTTAGAAAGCAGTAGCTACAAAGCTTTCAATGTTTGCATTTAGCTGTCAGAACTCTTGAAACAACTGCCTGCCTATAATTGCTGCCCTTTTGAACCAAAGGCCTTATGACTCACCTATATAGAAAGTCATAGAGTTTGTCTACACATTTATGATGGAACAACTTCATCAGATCACAGAAGGATACAGCCCTTCCTCTGAACTTCCAGTAGGGTAGTTGAGCCCATTTATCCAGCTGGGCCAAAATTTCCAGGTATGTGTTCTAGATGCTTTTCTTCCTAGTGCAGTGACTGAACACCAAAAAAACATCCCTTGTCGCCAGTTCTGTTACTATAAACAGCAGCTAATTATTAGCAACAGTGTCACAAAACTGCCAGGGAGAAAATAACTGCCTGTTGGCCAAGCAAGTGGTGCTCTGCCTTGCATCTGGCAAGTACAAGGAGAATTTACAAGAGAGC